CTACAAAAGTTAATTTAATCTCTTGGTCATCTATAGTGAGGATGTCTTTAAAAAAATGGCAGAAACATTTTGATAGGATCTTATAGCAGTGCCAAATAAAAAAAAAATAAAAAAAAAGGCGCAGATTTGCCTTTGACACAAAGTGGAATTAAAATAAATCTTTAAATGTTTCTCTTTCATGGCTTTTCTCCATTAGAGTGTAAAGTCTGCAAATAAACTTCAGTCAGGATGATAATGCAGACATTGTGACAACACAGCAGTTATACAGACAGGTATAAAAATGTTTTGTATTGGCAACACATTCCAACTGTCACTTTCTTACTTTTTTTTAAATGTTTGGCTTTGCAAATAATTGGACAGGTTAACATAGCTGTCAGTGAACAACTTCTCATATTTTTTTTTACAGGGTGAGGATTTCCTATAACTTATGAAAGCTTTCGTGTTAAATCAAAACCACATACAGCTTTTCAACTGTATCTATATCAAACAATATCTATAATGCCACTGGTGGGTAACTAAAGTTAGAAAAAAGCCCCAGCTAAACTAATATTGGCTAGAAAAACAAAAATCCCACTACTAATTAGTAGGTTGAATGTGTTACAGAAAAAGGCACAGCCTACAAGTCACAGGCTGTAGTTACGCATTTGTAAAAACCAACAAAAGCACTCATTGGTGAGAGCACCTGGCATGTGGACAATACAGTGACATAAAAGCAACATGACTTGGCTTTGGTCACTGAGCGGTCAACAGTTTCCCTCTAAATATATTTTGAATATGCATTAAGAGAATTTTTCTTAAGCCTTACTGTTACCAACCTTTAAAAAGCTTGTTGCATGAACACGTATCAAAACATCTCTCACAAATTTTTAAAGTACTCTGTAAATAAAGACTTTTACTGAAATAGTGGCTGGGAATTAAGTTTCTTATCCCATAGTTTCAGACATATGCAGTTCACTGCCATTTAAACTCAATGTTTTGAAGGACTGAAGTCTCCAAATTATAATTTCCCAATGAAATAAGCATGCACCTACACACTCAATCTCTCCTTCTTCCTTTCTCTTCCTTTTTCACACATACTAATTTTCTGCTTCATGCAAAACAATAGCAAAAACTTTCCTACCAAATAGATGGTCAATATTACAGGCACTAAAGAAGGTATTAAAAAAAAAAACAACATTGAGGTATGAGTCTAGTTAAAACATTCTTTCCAAAGACGGCCTAAGTAAATACAAAGATAGCAAATCTTCTCACAAAATCTAACAAAAAACTTTGATTTTCTTTAACCATGAATCTGTATCCCCTGACTGGTCCCTTCTTTTCAAGGAGGACAGAGGAAATTGCAGTTCTCTTGCATTTTTTTTCTGATACTTGCTATGGTTGTTAAAGAACTGCTATGGATTGTTAGACATGCAGAGTCATTTAATTTGTTGAAAATATAAATGGTTAAATAAAAGGTTGAAGTGCTTACTTTCTTAGTATTAAACTCTACTGCTCTCCCCTTGAAAATGTTGTTGAGATAAAACAACAAGCTTATATTACACAGCTCTGGTATGTAATTCATGTTTTTAACATTGTAAAAAAGAAGTTTTAATTGCTGTTATTTTTTCATGTCTATTTTACTCACATTTATCTCAAAATTAACAGATGTAAACAATGACGTCAGATATTATCCTGTTCTTTCCTTGACATCAACATTTAGAACCAACTGAATAATTTTACTTTATCTAAAGCATAATCTCAGTTGTTGGCTTGAATGTTTTTGGTTGTTAATTCTTTATGAAGTACACTAAATCAGTGCACTGCCACAGAATTTACCCACTATTTACTTAATCCTTCTATTTTCAAAGTAAATGAGCAAACTCAGAAAGAACGGAAAGTGTCTCTGCAAAGACCTGAGGAGTATTATCTACCATGTACAACCTTGATGCTAAATGAATGTTAAGATTTATCTTCTGTATGTTGCATTTGTAATAGAGGTCAACATCACTACATAGGCTTTAAAGGTCTGACATCCTAGCAGAAAGCAGCGATGCATATACACATCATGGACAAACTCTGACACATTGATATATAGGGCTTCAGACTATGCCTGTTTCTAAGTCAATAAATACATTTTGCTTATAATTTCAGTTAGAGCAATGGCACAGCCTATCTTAACAAATAGCTTTAATATTATTTTAATTTCCTTGTAAATATTACCTCTTCCAACAGCAATGGCAGAATAAGAGATCTGTGACTTTGACAAAGAACAAATCTGATTTCTGAAAAGGGTATTTCACTTTGATATAGAGCTTTTAACTTGGGTTTCTATTTTATTTTCAGCTTTCAGACATCTGTCCCTGATTTTAATCAGTTTCTGCATTTCTGTACACACAGGCCTGAATACTGGGAATTTCTTGGAAGATGAGGGAGGCATCGAAGACAGACTTCACACATTTTCCTTGAAAATCAGTGTGAGGGGGACATGTCAAGAAAGAGGCAAGCAAATTAATTTGAGATCACATTCTGCCACTTTTTCATTGAGTTTGACTTTACTCTGTAAGTAGCATCAAATACCTTTCGATATAAGACAGTGCAGAACAGCCAAGCTATCAGAGAACAACATAAACTTACAGAACAAATCAGCAGTGACCTAAAATTACATTTTAAGAGAGACTTTAAGTGTTATCTTGTCTTTGACAATCAAATCAGAATGCAACATCTGAAAATCTTTCTTAATATAAAATGCCTTACGTAAAACAATTAGAGGGAGTTGTATAGGAACACAAAGGTCTCAGCTTGCTGGTGTCTGTTTCCAGTGAGTGGTACCTTACTTCCAGTGAGTGATATAGTAATTGAGTAGTTCTCTGACGTGGAAATTAACCTGGTTTCAAGTGAACAATGTCAGCTTTCAGAATTATCAAAGCAAGATTTCAGTTTCTACATCAATCTTCAAGCTTTATTTAGGTGAACGGTAATCATGACTCCTACTCCTCAGACTGAGAGCTGGATGTATTTCCAGGGGAAATCCTCTTGTATAATCACAATTTGTTGGGTAAACTGTACGATGTACTACATAAAATTCTGTGCACTCTACTGAAAGGTGTTGTGTCCTATATACTACTGCAGATATTCCTCATGGCTTTAAAGTCTCTCAATCGATACGTTATACTATATATCTCTTTTCAAGATACTTATGCTTTTTCTTTTTAGTAATATTTAAAGTATGTTATTCAGCTATACATTCACTACTCACAGCTGTAATGGAAATATTTATTTTTTTCATACATACAGAAAACTGCTTAATTTACATGTCCTGGAATTGCAGTGAACAACAGCATGTCACGCTGAGCCATTTTTGTTGCTTAACACTTATTTACATTTATTTTGAGGCTAGGAATTTTGAAAAAAAAATTTAAAATTAAAAAAAAAAAAAAAAACACGAAAAAAAACAAAACCCAAACCTCATAATGCAGCAGAACTTTGAAGTATCAAACTGAAGTAATACTTCAGGATTCCAAAGGATATGCAATTTATATTGACTTATAGAGAAAACATAATGTCTAAGTCAGGGATAGAAGGTGCTACAAAGATTTAGTCTCTAGAAACAAAGTAATAACAAAATGCTCTTTTAAATGATATGGAGGAGAAGAATACAGCTTAGTTTGTCATCTTAATGTTTGAGTTTTGTTTTATGCCAGCTCTTAAATATAATAGAAAAGAAATTCTCATGAAAATAAGGGAAAAAAAAGGTCACATCTTGGGAGGTGTTCTGGTACCCAAATGTAGTTGTACACAAACAATAGTTAAAGCTTCATCTCTGTGAAACATGTTTGAAAACATAAATCTATTGCCCTACCAGTTCAGGATGAAACTAGTCTGGCAGAAAATCTTCCCTAAAATCAAAGATATTACATTGGCAGAGTCCTCATGGTGCAAAAATGAACTTAGTTACAAGTATCTAGTCAAGTATGGCTGTATTTAAAAAGTCCCTACATTCCTGTCTTGTAAATATTGCATCATTCATATACAATTTTAAGTCCAGATATTTAAGTGGCAATAAAGCAGACAAACCTGGGGCTTCTGAAGGAATATGGATCAGCTTTTTCATGGTATTTTCATTATGCAAGTAAAACACAGGAGGAGACAATGGGGACATTTTGTGATCTAGCTCCTCTTCTAGTCCTGCCAAGTATGCCTGTACTTGGAACGTGACTACTTTCTGCAGAACTTAAAATATTAATTTGAAGACATTGCTATGGAGACTCCGAATGCAAAAGCTTTACTACCTGGTCCCTCCTAAAACATTTAACGTTTTTATTATTACGGTAAGGGCTACTAGCAGACATGTAAACTCAAGCCCTCTAAATTGGGTTTCATATCGATGTGTCGCTGCCATTTCAGCGACAGAAATAAGGATTCGTAAGGACCGCAGATGGATACAGAACGAGGAATTGTTTCCTTTTACACCCATGGTCGTGTCTAGGCGGGATACACCGTGGAGACTTCGAGCCGTACCGTGCAGGTGAGGGGACGGGGAGAGAGAGTTCCCTGGGCCACTTCTCCTTCAGTCGAGACCCCGTCTCAGCCGGGAACAGAGATTCCCCGAGGGGGCTCCAGGCGGACACCGCCCCCACTCGCTTCCCAGCTCCGCTGGAGGCCGTGGGCAGACGCTGGGGGCCGGAGCCAGCTCTGTCCCCGCTGAGCCACAGGGCTCACCCTCCCCGCCCCTCGGCCCCCGCTCCCACCGCCTGGCCCGCAGGGCCGGGAGCCGCCGCTGCGGGAACAGTCCCCCCGCGGTCCCTCCCTCCCCACACCCGCCGGGCGCGGCGCCGCCCCGAGAGCGGGGGAGCGGGGGCCGGAGCGGGGCCGGAGCCGGGCCGGGGGCGATGCGGGACCCGGGGCGTGAGCCCTCCTCCGGCGGGGACGCGCTGGCGGAGCGGCGCGGGGGAAGGACCGCTGTGCTCCGAGCACTGTGCACCTGTGGGCGTGACCGCCGGCCCCCTCCTCCTCCTCCTGCTTCTCGTTACTTGAAGGGCCGGCGCCGCTGTAGCGGCAGAACCTGAAAGCGGAGCGGGCGGCGCGCAGAGAAGAGAGGAGGACACCTGCCACCGCCGACCCTCCGCCTGAAGTGTCCCGGCCGCCTCTCGCCCCGTCGAGCCGCAGGACCGGCCGGGAGGGGTGCCCAGTCTGGACTGGGCGGAGGGGACGGGGCTGTCCGGCTCCGCCGCTGTTCTCGGCCGCTGGCGGGCACCGCCGCCCCTCGCTCCCCCGGGGGCGCTGCGCTGGGGTGCGGATCGCCCTCGCCCCGCGGAACTGCCTGGCCGAGCCCTGCCCCGCGGGCGGGCGGCGGTGCCCCCGGTCTGCCCTCGCCCCTCGGTGCCGGCGGCCCCCGCGGACATGCTGCCCTGCGCTGGGCGGCGGCGGCGCCCTGAGCGGGGGTCGCCCTAGAGCGGCGGGAGGGCGGGCGGGGGAGGCCCCGCGTCAGCACCGGCGGGGCCCGCGCCCGCCAGCGGGGGCTGCCCCGGGGAGGGGGGAGGCGAGGGAGAGGACAACAAGCGGAACAACTTCTGCAAATTAAAAAAAGGGAAAGAGAGAGACAAAAAAGTAAAAATAGGGTCGTTCGTGGGACATCTTCGAAGCTCAGCACCACGCGTGGCGTCCAAGCCGCAGTGAAACCCTCCACGCCAGTGAATCCCACCACAGTGACAAGAGAAAAGCTGTCTGTGGCCACTGCACCAAAGTCTCGCAGGCGTTAGAGTCGCCTTGGCTTTCTGGCTGGAAGATGATTCTTGCGACAGAATCATATTGCTACTGATGATGAACTGCAGGGTCGTTGGAAGATGCCTTCCTTGAGGATTACATCTGGAGAAAGGCCATCAGTCAAGGGGCGAGCTGGCTGGTGAAACTGTCTGACTTCCTCCCCCCCTCCACCCCCCCAACGGGGAAGTGGCTTCAATGGCTCCATCTCCTAGGAAAAGCAGTAGGAAAGATGCCAACACCTTGCCAAGCATGTCCTCAACTTTCTGGGCTATCATGATTCTGGCCAGTCTCCTAATCGCTTACTGCAGTAAGTACATATTTGTCGTGGTGCGTTTGCTGGGCATAGATCTATGCCCTTCCCACCTAAAGTAATGCTTCTGGCAAAGGCCAAGCTCTAAAGCTGGTAGGCATAGGTGCTTTGTCTTAGACTTGCCCCTCAACATCTCTCCACAATCCCCTGTGGGAAGGCATGTAGACCGACACTTTAGTACTGCTACATCTCAGGAGAATGAGATGTCCCTAGGTTGTAGATGTGGCATTTCCAGTGCAAGCAGTAACATCTCTTGGATTCTAGAAACAAACTTTTTAGTGGTAGTAACTGTGATCCACTGTTCACTGTTTATTATCAGTGTTACCAGATTTCTCCCAGACTCCTCCACATAACACACACTCCTAACTCCATCCATCGTCTGTGAAAAGGAGCTATTTTGTTTATGTTCATCCTTTTAGGAAGCACATACTTAATCAAATGACAGGTGTCAACATCCCTGGGATCATATGTGATTCTCTGACTGAAATTCCATTGGAACAAACTGTGCCACTCCTTGGCATATCCTCAGCAGTTTAGTTAGTTTTGTCAGTTTTAGAGCTGCATCTCAAGCTATCAGAGTTTTGTATATTTTTTTTCAGACTTGATAGATTGTCGATTAATCACATTGGGTTGTGGATAAAGTATCTGTAAGAATCAAGTACATAATATTTTAAAGGTCTATTTTTCCGAGTTTTTTGGTTGTTGTTTGTTTGTTTGTTTTGCTCTTGGCAAGAATAATTTTCAAGCAGTTATATATTGTAAATAGAGTTAATGCCTATACTTCTATTGAATGCAAGTTCAATAGTACTTGTACCAGAGTGGGAAACTTTTAAAGGGAATAGACAAAACTGTTTCTATGCAATGATAAAAAAATACATAATTTATCAGGAGAGACCTGCACAGCTTTGCCAAAATGAATCTCCAGTGTATTTTCCCAACCTGAGATGAAGAGGTCTGTAATTTACCTATGGTGTGTATTCATTTCATTAGCTGTCTCATAAAAGATTTTGCACTAGGCTTGTCTTGTTGAGCTATAATAGGTGTAGGTTATGATGAGTAGGAAATAGATGCTGTTTTCCAGGAGCATGCTGCTGCATTTCTTAACCCTGTATTCCATTCCCTCTGACTATATTATATTCACATTTCTCTGTGTGTTTTTTGGGGGGATTTTTTTCTGAAACAAAATTTTAATTGGTTAAGAGAACCTGTAATTCACTTCTTTTCGCATATTACAAAGACTCTTCATACTGGTAATAGTGTAAATGGCTTATTCCAAAAAGAATAATGTATTTTGTAATTATTTTTTTGTAATTTAGCACACTTTGCATTACACTTCTCATTTAAAAAAATCACATTAAAGTGGTCACACTTTTAAATAACCTAATTTTGTGCATAATGCCATATTCAACCTCTTAATATAGAGGATATACTAAACAACATAGTGGGATTTAAAAGAAATTATGTGTATACTGGGAGTGCATATTACAGGATGAGTAGTTCAAGTGTAAAGGGAATTCATCTGGATGTTAGTAATAAGAAATATTTTATTAAGTTTGTGCTAGAAATACCTGGAGAGTCCCAGGCTTTTTATGAGAAGATATGAGTTCTTCTGTGCATATATGTTCTATTAGCATGGCTTCAGAAAGAGTTAACCATAAACTCTGACACTTTAAAAAATGTTTATGTTCAGCAGTGAGAGGTTTGACAATGTTTTGTTCTTAGGAGTGAAGTTGTCCCTTTGAATTATTACATATTGTTCACTGTTTATTTTTTGCATTGTTTACTGATGCTGTACAATACAAATGTTGGCTGATAATCTGAAGGCATTTTCTGGTGTGCTTAAGGGACCAGTTTCTAATTAGTCCTCTCAGCCAGCGTAGATGGTGTTCCTCAAACGTGTAGTACGCTCTTCATTTCATATAGCACTGAAAAGCATCATCCAGCTTAAAATATGCAGTGTCAAAACACTCCACCATTTATGTAATGCTTCAGTGATTTGACAACTGCAATTCCAAATGTTAATGAAGCACCATGAACATTTTTTTCTAGCGGTAGTATTTGAAACATTGCAAAAAATGTTTTTTGCTCTGTGGAAAGAGGGAAGGTGTTTAAAATCAAGATTAAAAAAATGAAGCAGTTTCTAGGTAAAGTAGCACTTAAGATTTTATGAATTCTTTTAAAAATCAACTAGAGTTTAACCAGACTTTTTTCATCTGATGTCTTTTGAAGAAAAGCATAACTGGGTGTGGAGGGGGACATGATGACTTTAAAAATGTTTTTAAAATAACAGGCTTGCCATATTTCTTAGTAAAATGAAAGAAGTAAAAGGAGGGAACTTGACTATGTAAGGTGTTCTGTATTTTTCCACACACAATATATTCAGGTATATGGAAGTATACCGATTTAAATTTCTGATATCAAGCAGCATTCTGTAAAAAACAATAAAGGAGACTATATTAGCAAACCAATTACATGAACCTCGTATTGGATTCTCTCTCACTGTGTCATTTTACTACAATCGATCTCTGCAGCTTCAAAAACAAAATTAGAACTTTTCCATTTTTCAATTTTTTATAGCACTTTAAATGAAATTTTCTATCTACCTTGCTTATTTCCATTTTTAATCTGTTAGAATGACAAAGCGTATTCCTGAGTCAGTTATATGAACATTGTTTCTCCTTCTCTTGTGGATCATTGTTTCTGAAAATTGTTGTACAAGAGTCATCCCTATTACTGAGAGCAACCAGTAAACACAGTACTCTAAGTTCCACTTGCAGATAAGCATATTTAGAAAGCATGTTCTGGGTGTACATGTACAGCCCATTAGGCTCTCATTTATACTTTAATATCTGAAGCCCAATTATATTCCCACTGATGTGGCAAAATGATAAACTGATAATTTTTTCTTTCTTAAATGTTTAGATTATACTTAGGGATAGTGGCTCCATCCTATGGTGGAAGAGAAACCTGCATCAAATCAATTAAGTTAGTTGCTATAGTGATAAATATAATGCAATATTCTTCAACTGAAGAAAAATGGCCTGATTTGGTAGGCTCTCAATAGGAGGAGGCAAAAATGAAGTAGTAGAAATAGACTGTGTCATCAACAAAGAGTTAGTTATCTTACTTAGCAGAAGCATCAGTAAAAGTAAAGATACCCTCAGAAGGTTGTCCTGGTAGGGGGTGGCCACCTTTGATGGCAATTCAGATTTAAAAGAGTTGTGACATTTTTGGATCCCAGACATGCATCCCCCATACTTGTTTAATGAACAGTAGTAGACCAGAGAGAAGTACCTCAAGTGTATACCTCATATTGTAAAGGTAAAATGAATTATTTTTTTCTTCTTTGTAACTGGAATATGCATTTCTAACGTTACCATGTTAGAAAGTTTGGTAAGAGTAAGGAAATTTTCTGTGCTATCACAGCTACATGCTACATCAAGAATCTAAATAACATAGTTTTGATTCAGAAGTACTTTTTAGTGCATTTATTCAGTTGACTTTGCTGTAAATACTGAGGAGCTTTTTATATGTAAATAGTAACTTTTTAAACAACATAAGATTCAGCTTTTAGCGAAGTTGTGGCTGTTATGAGCTTTTGGTTTTCCTTATTTTATACTGTTTTGTAAACATAAGGAATAGAACATTAGAGCCCTATGCTGTTCTGTTAAGGTAATACTTCTAAGGCTGAGCAAATGGGTTTTTTTGAAAGGAACCCCCAAAATTGAATGGTGCTTTTTGACCTTCTTGTTTTAAATATTGTGTATGGAAGAGAGAGGTATGAAGCCTAGCATTTATGCTGACTAAATGCTGATAGTAGTAGGATAAAAGAATATAAACCTCCAAAATGCAAAATATTTCTCTAAATGCAAAATATTCCCCCAAAATAACTCTACACTTTTTCATTGTAAGTACAAGTTCTTTCACAGTAAGAAGAAAGGGAAAGAGGAAGTGTTCTCCTAATTCATTATTTCTTTTGCTGTCAGAGTACAAACTTAGTACATTGTAATGATGACATACTGGTAGGTTATATTAAATGACTGATTCTACAGCCTACTGTTTCAATCAGTGGAATTTGTTTAGCAGAAAAAACCCTTAGCATAAATAAAAAAAAGTGTCTCAAAGATTTTACATGGAACCATGCAAAATGCAGGCAGTTCTGGTTTGGGCTGAGGTAGTTTTCTTCACAGTGGCTAGTATGGGGCTATGTTTTGGATTTGTGCTGAACACACCATTGATAATAATGAGATATTTTTGTTACTACTGAGCAGTGCTTATGCAGGGTCAAGACCTTTTCTATTTTGAGTACTGCCATGCTGGTGAAGAGACTGGGGGTGTATGGGAGGACACAGATGGGACAGGTGACTCCAACTGACCAAAGGGATATTGATATGACATCATGCTTAGTATATAAAGTGGGGGGAAGAAGGAGGAAGAGGGGAAGGTTTGAAGTGATGGCGTTTGTTTTCCCGAATAACTGTTATATGTGATGGACTCCTGCTATCCTGGGGATGACTGAACACCTGCCTGCACATGGGAATGGTGAATTAATTCCTTGCTTTGCTTTGCTTGCATGCACGGCTGTGGTTTCCCTATTAAACTGTCTTTATCTTAACCAATGAGTTTTCTCACTTTACCCTTCTGATTCTCTCCCCAGTCCTGCTGGAGGGGGATTGAGAGAGTGGCAGTGTAGTGCTTGGCTACTGGCTGGGGTTAAACCACAAGTTCCCATGAAAAATATTATATTGACTACACCTGAAATTGAGATCCTGTTACACACTGGGTAACACTGCTCATTTCAGAAATACCTTTTTGTTGTCCTGTTCTGGAATTGCTTTCTGCCTAGAAGACACAGGTTACTATGGTGTTTAGGTCTTACTGTTCCATTATGCTATTTGAGACTGCCAGCAGGGATGGTAACTAATTGTGACTGACACCTGGACACCTCTCCAACAGGAGCCACCACATCATCATGCGTAGGCTGCTGAACAGCTGTT